AGTATGTGCCAGGCATGAGGCTGCGCAGACCGAGCGGCAGCTCGATAGGGAGTGTGTGGGAGGGTCACCCTCATAAAAAAATTTTTTTTTAAATTTCAGTTTTCTGTAAGCAGTGAAAACACTATTTTGGCATTGTTTGCGGGGTTAAACCTAAAAATCACATTAATACACCTATTGCACGATATTGTGAAACTAGCTGACGAAGACAGCTCGGGCGGCGATTGTTCGACTCGGGGCTGCTCTGTCAGTATCTAACAAACGCATTTAGTTCGCGTACAACTTTTAAAAACCGAATGTCAGTATGGTATTTCTCACATAATTGGTTATCGCAAAAACAGAGTAAAGTGAAAGCGAGTAATCTCGACTCAAACCTATAGCCTATAGCCTACTTACTACACTCGTCACTAGGCTTCCTATATTATTGTTTGTGGACGGTTTACTACTTAGTGATAAGCCTGCGCCGCAAAAAGAGGTCTCGCCTTTTATTATTAGTATAATGACTTCCTCATGTGCGGCAGGTTAGTTTGCTTCTAAAAACACTGTTTTCCGTTCCAAAAAATACAAAAGTAATTTTCTACCAGATGACCATGGTTCTTTTCACCGAGACTAGATAATTTCTCTCGGTGTAAGGATATAGCTATGGATAAGTTCATACAAGGTCAATAAATCCGCGGTCACTTCGGGTCACACTGTTGAGAAAATAAACCGATGGGTTTGTTTAGTAGCAAATCGAGCGTGAATCAACTGAGTTTGTACTGAAATATTTTTGAGTGATATGTATGAACTGTCTTCACACATTCGGTTTATAATTAGCGATACACTAGTACAGTGGCAAGTGTTGTACTTCACAGACTGTTTACCTCCGAACTACCTCCGCACGAAATCCCCGATTTGGGTACTTGTTAAAAGAAAAAGAAATAGTACCTGTGCGCATGCCAGTAAAAAAAACCCTAAGAGTTCGCGCATAAAAATGCCCGAACGTACCAGGCGCCAGGTCATCCAGAGTATGGAACACCGACCACATCATAATGTTATGTGATACTTAAGCAGTTTTACATACATTATGCAAGGGCTAAATCTGCCTATTGCATGTCTTTCCTTAGACCTGAAATATTATACTGTATAAACTATTAATTAGACATTTATTAAAGATACATTATGGGAGATTAGATAACGAGTTGGTAGTTCTCACTATAATAGTATCAAACTACATAATGTAAAGGCAACTTGCTGAAAATTTCAGTCAAATTTATCCACTATGAACCGAGAACTAAGCGGATGAAAGTTCCACTAAGCCTCGATCATCATTACTGAAGTCGATAAGACAAAACTAATAGTCTTGATTATCCATTTAATCGTTAATCACGAAGGAAAGTTTTGCAGCAAATCGGATTGTAATTCAACACATATCGCAGGCAAGCCTTGACATCGAGAGCTGATTTTGGTCTGGATAAGTTAATTAATGTCTAATTAACATATCAGGCGTAAAGAAAGGCCTACAATAGGCCGATTTTGCTCTTGCATAATGGATGTTTAACAAAACAAGACCATAATCATCTCTCGATTGCAGGGATACTCGAGATTTTAACCAGGTTAGAACGGTTCGTCATTTCAAAATTTAATTTAAAAATGGGAAAGCGAGGCTAAGTCTCGAATATACCAGTGCCCTGGTTACCACCAGTGATAACTTGGTTCAGAATGAAGTAATTTGAATAAAATTTTCAATATTTTCACTTTACATTATCTATTTGTGAGCAATTATAGCAAGAATGGTCAACTCTTTATCTAAATCTTTCATAATGTACCTTTAATTAATGATAAAATCGAAAGCTCTTTTCGAAATTTTAAAATATATTATCCATGTTTGTCCAGTTTGAGACGGCCATCCCATATACGTATGTCGTCAAATTAACGTAAACATGAACAACCATAATATCTGAGACAACATTCCGATATAACATACTGTATCGTCACATTTCCCAAACATAACACCACAGTTCGATTAAGATGAAAGTTGAAATATGTGTTAACGATCAAAATATTTTAGATGATATCGATTTTAGTGTGCATCAGACGTTCGATTCCGGTGTCATGATCCCCAGCCTCTGACGCAATATGTGAAATATGTACAAAGTTTGTGGACACTCCGATTCGGGCGAAACTTAGCCTATATGTTAATGATTAAGAGATCTCGGCTGGGTTTGATTTTGGTGTACATCGTAACTTTCGACCCAAAGTTATTCCTCCTCTTCCAAAAACCTTGTGAACACGATAAAGGCTACAGTTTTTAACGGATTTGATTCGATAGGAAACATGAGAGGATGGGCCCTATTTCCTAGTTATGTCTCCATCTATTGCAAAATGCTGACGTATCTTAAAGAATGTTGTATGGGAAAAGATGCACGCCCACACCATCGAATATGCAATATGTGGGATGTGTAAAGTAATCAAACTGTCATTTACATAAATGTCCAGCCTCCTTAAAGTGTGGAGCCACGGTGGCTACGTGAGTAAGGCGCTGGCTCGATAACCTGGAGGTCGCGGGTTCGATTGAATATGCAATATGTGGGATGTGTAAAGTAATCAAACTGTCATTTACATAAGTGTCCAGCCTCCTTAAAAGTGTGGAGCCACGGTGCCTAAGTGAGTAAGGCGCTGGCTCGATAACTTGGAGGTTGCGGGTTCGATCATGGTGTTGGCCGAGAAATTTCTTTGGTATTTTCAAGCGTGGTTTCCTCCTGTCGGGGACCTGATAAAGTTAGTTGTCTAGTCGTCTGGATGGGAAGAAAAACCTAGCTCCCGTGTACACATTGGCGTGCACATTGTCCGGGAAAAATTTCCCCCATAGCAAAACAGTAGGACGTTAAACCCCATTGCATTTCATTTCATTTCCTTAAAAGTGTCCAGTCCCCTCGACTATTGTGATTGTTGTTAAATACAATACTGCACAATTCCCTGGGAGTTTCCCCTTGTCGCCGGTGCAGCGCGGAGGGACTGGCAAGGAAAACAGCGTATATTCTTTAGGATAGGAAAAATACCGAGATCATGTTTTCATGTTGGCGGGTACTTGACAGTTGGGATTCAATTGCTATCCGGGCCAAATGTCCCTCATGATGTATGCCCGTCTTCATTAAAGTAGCTAAGTCTCTAACGCAATATCATCAAAAATCTTCGACATTGAAAACACGAATTATTTGTCAATTCAAATCAACATTTGTCTTGTGAACTTACAGGGAAAAGATGGGCTTCTGAAATCCAATATTCAAGACAAAATAAACATTTTACCATTGGTACACGAATCGTGTACCATAATGCGTTTCAGCGCCATTTGGAACAAGGGACTCAAAGAACGAGGCTACACATATTCCACAAGTCATGTCAATTGGTGACGCTATATTCTTATCTGGAGAGCATGCGCAATAAATACGATCGGTGTAGACTGAAATAATCAGACGCTAAAGATTGTCATTCAATTGAGACTTTGGTGCATTTCGCGGAACATAACTGATTAGAAATCACAGTAAAAACAGGAACGATTGAATGTAAATCTGTTTATATACATTCATATTACATTATTATATGCGTTGCGACCCATTTGTGTCAATTTCTAGGTCCCAAATATTAGCGATTCAGCTCCTTTAAGCTTAGCTCACAACCCCCGCCGTACGTACTACGGCAAGTGTACAGCGTTTTGGTAAACCCGTGCATGCACAAACAAAATTTTCACCCGATTTTTTACGCCATGTCTGCGATCAGCTACCAACCCCTACGACCCGTGCTTGTCAAAACTCGTACGGCGGGTTGTGGGCTAGGCTTTAAGCCCAGTTGGTGACGATGCAGGGCGTAAATCACGATTTCATTCATTCATTCATTCATTCAATACTGCAGGAAGTCATCTATTATATTTCAGGTTATGGTGTGTCATTGTCTTTTTATTGACAACTGTCAAGAATAAACACCTAAAATACCCCCTGAAGAGATTTTATAGGCTGTTAAGAGTACACAATGGTTCTTAATCATAGAGCTGTATTGTTCTTCTTTTGTGTTTTTGTGTGTATTTTGTTACTAATAATACAGTAATATTCATTTTTTTATGAATATTGTTGTTATGACATCGAAACTTAAACAGATTCATGCCCGGAAATATTTTATTATTACTCATGGTTTCTTATGTGGGCGTGTTAAAGTAACATTCTCTGTGTCATCAATATAGTTTTAGAAAATCAAATATCCCTTTCAATGTAAATTTCCGCGAATGAAAGTTACTGCATATATTGACACATGAAATGAAATGCTATAATCAATTAAATGACACTACTTTCTTTTTTTGTTACCCTTCAATACGGTTTAACATTGTAAATTTCCGCGAATGAAAGTTACTGCATATGTCGACAATCACATCAGTATCAATTAAATCACACTCTACTTTCTTTTAATATGGTTTAAGGCGTTCAACCAATATAAAGACGCCTATCTTCTGCAAGAATAATTTCAACCAATCTCAGTAGCTGTAATTACACTTCCATGAAAACAGATAATGGTTAGATCACCGCGTAGTGTAGGTCATCAAAAATCTAAACCACAATGGAATATTAAAAAATCTCTTGAGTATTTAGATCACCTCGAAATTTAAAATTAAATTAATAAAATAAAACCATATGTGCAACGAACTACAAGATATGATTAAATGCAGTATGTTGAACTACTGGTGACATTCTTAAGATGAGATTTCTTTATCGAATTATTCAATCTCAACTTTTGTCTATCAAGAATTATTTGATTGGACTGTTATAGGACATTGGAAAGGCTTAGTAACCCAAACAGGCCAGGAGAAAGAACCGATTGAATTAAATTTAAGTTTATCTTATATTTCCTAGAAATATTATCATTTGCAGCTGAATTACGTCATGCCTTTTCAAACTATTGATATTTTGGATCCCCCCTTTAAATGGTCGCGTGGGGAAAAACGCGGTAGTTCTTCAATAGTTACAAAATACAATGGCCATAGAGGGCCCTATTTCATGTCTAAACCTGGTTTAATTTAGATTTTGTGTAAGCTACAAACTAACATGTCATATGTTACCTGTATAATAACATAATGACGGTGTCATTTATTTACTTGTCTCTTCTTGTTTCAGGTAAGTATTATTAGATTTCTTAAGTAAATGCTATCAGATTTGTGTGGTTGACATCGTCACGCCATAACAGGTTTTTCAATGATACCCCATTAAAGATATATTATGTAAGATTTAGATAAGGAGCTGACCATCCTTGCTATATAATAGATAGTTTTGACAGGATGTGTGCTCTGTGGTAACCAGGGCACTGATATATTCGAGGCTTAGCTTTTAAATGACGAACCGTTCTAATCTAGTTAAAATCTCGAGTATCCGATGCCATCGAGAGTTGATTATAGTCTTGTTTTGTTAATAAATGTCTAATTAATAGTTTATATAACATTTCGGGCGTAAAGAAAGGCCTGCAATGGGCAGATTTAGCTCTTGCATAATATATGTTTAAGTAACTGTTAGTATGTATATAAATGTGTCTTACTTGGGTTCATGGCCAGACAAATGCCTGTTTAATTATAGTCATTAAACTCCGTATCAAAAAGTAGAAGCAGGCGTTTAACACACAAAAACACATACTTATGGAAAGTAATACAAGAATTATGAGATCAATATATACAGAAAAACTATAACAACAATTCATGAAATCATACAGACATTTAACATTAAATGGAATATAGCTATATTATTTGGAACCTTAAAAGAGACTAAAAGCACATTAAAATAAACTTATATAAATTTGAATGTATGTAGATACATTGAAATTACTTTAATATAATTATTCTATTTTATTCAATTTTTAAAAAGAAATTATTTTCATTTCTAATGAATTATGTACGTTGAAGTATGTGAACAATCCAAATTAAACGGCGGTCGTTTACGTCTGGTCAGTCCATTCCACACGTTTTTAAATGACATTTTGTCGTTTGGATATTAGAATCCCATATTTTCACAAGATAACAACATCTATAATGATTGAAATGGGCCAATATTGAATTCCAATTTGTTTGTTTTTTAATTGCAAATATCATGGAAATTATTGAGTTAAAGGTTAGGTTTGGCTCCTTTAACAGAAAAAAAAACCGCAAAATGTTACATCTAAGAGGTAATAAATCCATAACATTGTGTTTTTAATTTTATTAACGTTTTTTTATCCCAAGCATAAGTATTTATTAGTATTAGTAAGAGTTTTATTTATAGGATTATTTGGCAGATTTATAATGGATGACTATGGTCTGGCTCAAAAATCAAATTGCCGAGTACATTGGATTTTTATTTTTCAAGAATGTCAATATTGCTTGGTCAATGTTTACGTCTTTTGATATAAGATATAATCCATTTTGTATGACTGTGTTGACACAGAATGCCAAGAACAAACTAAAATTATAACCAATTGAAGAAAGACGATTCGATTGCACCAGAAAACGGTAACCTGGCCTAGTTTGAGCGTCGACAAATTTTTAAAAAGATGTACGCAATGATATCGGGAAGGTTGTAGAGCGGTGTGGCACACGGAGTCTGTACCCCGTTTTCTCCCACAGGACAGCTGTCAGTTATTGAAAACAAAATGTATTTTATTATGTTAGCCCGGAAATGACCTACTTAATGTTTTGAGATATAGATATCATTTATATCTCGCTTTTATCTGTTTTGTCAGTTTATGTAAATAAATTTGGTTTAAATAAAATACTGACAATGACAGCTGTCTACCTTAGATAAAATGTCCCGCAAGACCATGTTGGATCAACTAAATTATATTCCACACATATCCGGTTTTTACAGTTTTACAGTATAAATAGTGTATTGAGTTATCGAGATTTTGAACAAGATCCGTTGTAATTCAAATCAAAGCATTATAGGCTAAACATTTATAAGATCAGCTTTAGCTATTCATCAGAGGTTCTTTTATAATTGAATAGAATTTTATGAGTTGGTTTATTTCGTATCTTTTCCAGGGACAAATATATTTCCTGAAATTATTTAGTTCTCCGGGAATGATAAAAATGATGATTTAACACGGCTTTAAATAAATAACGCATAAACTTATGCTGTCTATCTACAGTTATCCCCGCTAGAGAACTGATACTAAGCTAGCTGAACGACATTTTAAGTCTTAAATCGACGATTTTAGTAGAAAACACACAATATTTTTCGAGAAAGTATATATTCTGCTTGGATTTAATAAAATTGAAAAGGTTTAATTAGTCTATGTGTACAGGAGTTTGGACCGCATTACAGAACTATACTAATTTTGGGATATGGCGGCTAGTTAGGGCAGAGATCTATTCTGGAAGTATGAAGTAGATCGATCTCAGTGTGCAGAATGTAAATGACCCGTGATTGAACGTCATAGCAGCCCATTTATGTTTCCCTAATCATCTGAGTAAATAATTTGAGTTCGATCGTTCATCTTAAAGCATAATTTGAGTTCGATCTTCCGTTTTTGTAGGGTAAGTATAGCCCCTGGGGAACTAGAGGTTGCTCTATTCTGTTTTGCGATAAAACTCACGGTTAACATAGATGGCAGTCTTATAATCCACACCGGACAACGGGGGTTGGTATTTCATTGAAAACATACCATATACCTCCAGACTTGCTTGGGACTAGAATTAAAGGATTCTAAATGCCTTTAACTTGGTATTGACAAGAGTGTGTTAACCACCTGTTTACAAACAAGTTCTATGCATCCGTCCCGAATACAGTGTAGTGATCTCCCTTGCATCTCTCGATAGCTCTACAGACCAACGTATTCAAGAACGTGAATTTAGTTATAACTATATGCTCAGATTGGGCATGGTTGGTTTTCTGAAAATAAACACTGCTTTCTTTAAAGGGGCGTCATGAAAGATTTAGCCGGCCTTTCTCGCTATAATATTTCAAAAATAGATAATGCAAAATGACTGTATTGAAAATTTCATCCAAATTGTTTTATTTTGAGTGAAGTTATCAATGGTTGAAGTTTTGACAAGATGTGGTCATTCGAGTCTTAGCCGAGCTTCTCCATTTTTAACTTAAATCCTTAAATCTAATCTATTTAAAATGGGGGCTATCCGGTGGCATCGAATGTTGATTATGTTAATAAATGTCTAATTATTAATTTATATAATATTTTTAAAAGGCCCAAAGAAAGACGTGCAATAGGTAAATTTAGCCCTTACATAATGTCTGTTTAAATAATTGGTAGTTAGAATTTGTGTCTGTAATAATACAGAATTAAATGTATTAACTGGATCGATTATTTTTATTCCAGTGGCTAACGCCTGTGAAGTAATTTGCGAAATTAATGTCAAGCCAAACGAAGCAGTAGATTTAATTCTAAATTTGACCAATGTCGAGACAAAGAAACTTGTTCAACTAAGACATGTGCCAAATGATAGGATTGTGAGCTTGGGAACAGCAGGCGCGGCATCTGAATGGAAAGATTTTAGCCGAAATAATAATACACGTACGAATGCACACAGTGGAGCTATTGTTACAGTGACTCTGCTAGGGTTAACCAGAAATGATGCTGGTAAATATTGCTGTGACGAAGGTGTAACAGGATGTGGAACCAATCTAATAGTATCAGGTATTTAGTCATATTATAACTGACTGATGGATTGACAATGAAAACCCGATTTGTCAATTGAATAGGATATAATAGATAAAAAATATTTTCTTGCTCGCATTCTGCTGTTAAACAAACGAAAAGAAAGACCCACAGACTCGGTAACTACACGATGTCCATATACTATCAAACAAAAAAGACCCCAACACTCTCTCAACACGAGCGATTCCGATGCGATGCAACAGGACAAGGAGATGTTCACCCTTGAATATCCAGACACGATATGAAGCTTCAAGCCCATTTCTGATCATTTTATACTATTCTGCAGAGGTCGTGATGGATCTGGACAGGATCTGTACAGTATCTGGACTGAAGCGAGTTTGTCGTGTCTGGGCCGTGATTAGGTCGAGTAAGACTTATCAAGGTCTTGTTGGATCTGGGATAGAGAGAGAAGGTCCTGCACGACCTGGACCGTCACGGTAACTCGCCGGGAAGAGGTCGAGTTGATGACTTTTTAACAAGACCTGCTCCCGATTCACCAAGACCTGACTGCGACCTTTGCGATCCAAGAAGACCTTCTCCAGTTTTACAAAATATTTGAGTATCGTTAGGTCGTCCTTTTGTGTGATGGGGGCTTTACAACTCATAATTAACACATACAATTTTCGCGACAGGACACTTTAAATCCTTTAGGGGATCACGTGGCTAAGTGGGTAAGACGCTAGCTCACTAGCCTGGAGGTCGGGTGTTCTATCCTCGCATTGGCCGAGAAAGTTCATCCAGATTATCCGGCGTGGTTCTCCCTTGTCAGTGATGCAGGACGGAGGGGCTGACAAAGAAAGCTGTCTAGTCGTTCGGATGGGACGAAAAACCGGGGTCCCGTGTACACATTGGCTTGCACGTAAAAGATCCCTTGGCAGTTGGAATTCGATATAAGAGTAGGCCGTAGTGCCGCTGTCCGGGCAAAATTTCCCTCATAGCACATTGTATGGCGTATGCCCGTCTTCATTAGCCCAGGTTAGGAGCAGAACAGTAGGACGTTAAACTCCATTTCATTTCATTTCATTTCATTTAAATCCTTTAGTTAAAAATAGCCGCGCTTCATATCTGAGCATTTCGATCTACAGCAAGAAGGCGAAACTATATAAGGATCTAGAGGGGGCAATAATTTATGAATTTTTTATTAATGATTTCTTCTTGGATTTACAGATAAACCCGTCATAAATTTAACCCAACCAGATCGACAACCACTATTGGAAAAAGGGGTATTGGGAATATTCAAAGGGGAAATAAATTTAACATGTAACGCTGTATCAACAACCAAACCTGATAATCACAATTTAACTATGGGATATACCTGGTTCAAAAATGGTGTAATTTATGGTAATGGTAAAAGACTACACGACAACGAAGTTGACATAACTTACAAAGAAGCTTCAATAGTTTGTGTAGCTACTGACTATCCACACTGTAAAAAAATTTTACAACAGTTAAACCATTTCTCTACAATAGAGACTGGTATGTAATTCCCCTTAAAGGGCCACAATAAATTATTTCGCTGTACCCCTTATAGAGACAGATCACCAAATATAGTTATATTCAGTTTAATGTTAATTCTTGCCTCGTTGCCCCGTTCCACCCTTTCCCATTATTTTCGATGTACTGCGCACTCTCTACCACTGAAGGAGTAACATCTGAGAATGTCTAACCCTAAGCATGCATGTATATGATCATGAAGAGATATTAAGATCCACATATTTTAGATAGAGTAATTGGTGGTCGGTCTGCTGAGGTGCCTGATGTAGAGAACCGTTTAAAAATATCTGTCTGTCACAATAGACATCTCCTGTGATGAGCCATTCCATGTCAAGAACATACTGTACAATTTAGTTAATCGGCTTCTATAAAAGCTATTTGAAAACAGTTGTGGGTGGGGGGCTAATACCCGTGGTAAAACGTATCTCCCAAACGTCGCTTTATTGTTCCAGTTTGAGCCAGAACTGTTTACCATTTTCTAATATTTTTTTAAAAATTTAACACTGAAATTGTTATAATTGAGTTATAAATAAAATGATTATATACAAAGAAACGCTATCACAATAGCTTGTTAACTGTGTCGTTGGTATCCGTTTTTTAATATGTATTTCAGTTAATCGAGGTGAATGTAGCAGTGTTGTAGGTTTTTCCGAAAAGTTCATCGTTCATCCTGAATGTAAGTATTATAAGTATTCGAAAGAGAGATCGTAAGTCGATCGATTAAAAAATATTTTCCAAATCATTTGTGGGTAATTGTTTCTAATTATTTATTTTATTACGGATTCACACTAATATACACTTTTGTGATAATACTATATTCGGTCTATGCTGTATTAGCTAACAATCCGATATATATTTTATAACATGAACTATAACTATGATAACTAAGCTAATATTATATATACATATATTTTATAACAGGGTCCATGCAGTATTAACTACAACTATTACAACCGTATAGCTAAACTGATATTATATGTATATATAATATAAATATTTTACTGTATGGGCCATGTTATAATAATACATTATTACAGTTAAACTGTATTAACTATCATAAATGCAATAGCTATTGCATAACATGGTCCATACCGTATAATATAATGTAATATGAAACTGATAATATATATATATTTTATCAAGACAGTCCATACAGATATCTATTTCATTTTATAATATTAAAGATACATTATGGGAGATTAGATAAAGAGCTGGCAGTTCTCACTATAATAGTTAAAAACTAGATAATGTAAAGGAAATTTGCTGAACATTTCAGTCAAATTGATCCACTCAGAACCGAGAATTTAGCGAATGAATTTTGGGCCTAGCCTCGATCATCATTACTAAAGTCGGTACGATAAAATACATAGTCTCGATTATCCAATTCTTGATTTAATCATGAATGATCGTAGAGCAGCAGGTCGGATCCTAATCCAGTAAATATCGCAGGCTAGCGATGACATCGAGAGTTGATTATGGTCTGGATAAGTTATTTAATGTCTAATTAATAATTTAGATAACATTCCAGGCCTAAAGAAAGACCTGCAATAGGCAGATTTAGCTCTTGCATTATGTATGTTTAATTATAACAACCAGATATCAAAACTAGATATTAGCTTGATATATGGGTGACAATAATCCACCATCATGTGATATAATATATATTTTATTTTATTAAAGATGGACCATACAGTATAAAATTACAACCAGACCGGGGTCATATTAAACCAATTGTTGGTAGTGATTTATCAGTTGACTGTACCAGTGATTGTAATCCACCATGTGATATCAAATGGTATAAAGATGGAGACGTATTGAGTAATAATAAACATATAAATATACCAGATCTACAACTAGATGATGATGGGGTGTATATGTGTATTGCCAGCAATACATATGGCAACAGAAATACGTCATTTAATATTGACCTTTCATGTATGTTAACTCGTTTTGTAAAACTTATTTTATCATGCAAGTGTTAAATGCTATACTCTTTAACTAAATCAGAACTTTTTTAAGTATCCACCTACGTGTATATACTTTGACATTAAATTCGCCTTTGCTCATACATTAAAAATTAATAGCATGCATATTTCGCCGAACATAACTGATTGGAAATTACAGTAAAACAGAAACGATTGAATGTAGATCAGTTTATATACATTTATATTACATTATTATATACGTTACGACCCATTTCTAGGTGCCAAAGAATAGCGATTTAGCTCCGTTAAATTCGCCTTTTCTAATACGCTAACAGTTAATCTAGTAATATGAACTGTAGCACTAAAATATTCAAATTATTTGTTCCAGATGCTCCTGTACAAAAAAGGCGCGCGGGAGATGATATCATTGAGACTGTTGTTGGAGAAATGGTGACAGCGTCAAGGGGGATATTTGGATATCCTAAACCAGTGGTAGATGTGGCCTCTATTATCACTCCGTCAAGCGTAAGCCTTTATTACACAAACTATACAGTTCATGCCACACACACAACGCATTATTATCGACTTACTCTATCTGTACACGTGGTTACTGATGATTACCTGGGTAAATATTGTGTATATGTAGAGAATAAGAAAGGAAAGACACATATATGCCACACCCTGACCGAAGGTGAGTAATATGAGATAACTGAAGCAAGGGATTGGGTATTATTATTTTAGATATTGCCTAAATGGTTTTATGGCAAGAAGACGGAACTGGAGAAACCCACATAGAGGTGAAGCAGGATTAACCTCCTAATTGGCATGTACAATAGTGGGATCTAAACCACAAAACAATTCAAGACGGACCAAAAATATGGCATCCTGTAAACCTTACACTGATTTTGGATAAAATACAGAAACTTAAATCTATAACGTGATATTAGTTCAGAGAGCAGGCTACCCACGTTGTTAATCTTTATGTGGTGGACAGAGCTATGGGCACGTCATAGACTGTACATCACTTTTCTATTTCAGTAATAATAAATTCTAAGTCATGAACTTTTAACATTTTAGTTTAGCGTTCGATTTCGGCTTCCCCGTGTCAGATGAACAGGGTACTGGTTATGGCAAGGTCGAACGTCTAGTCGCTAATAACGGACGAAAACCCGGGGTTCCATATTCACATTGGCGTGTACGTAAAGAGTCCGTGGTAGTCTGAATTCCACAAAGAGTAGGCGGAGACTGTCAATAATTCCACAGTGGATGGCGTTTGCTCTTCTTCGTGGTGCAGAGAAATGGGAGTTTAAATCCTATTTCATTTCGGGGATAAGGGCGAACTAGATAATAGCCATTCTTCTATTGTACAATTAATTTTTATATTAGTTCTTAGCATTGTGTGCATGAAAAAAAAAGTAAAAGTACCACCGGTTGCATATCTATGTATTTTTTTTTTATGTCGTTGGTTATTCGGTACATTTCGCCAAGTCAAGTAAGTGTTGCGCCCCTTCCCGAAAGAAATACCATAATTCATGCATTATTATATACAAACATGAATTGTGACAACGAATTAGGATTATTTTTTTTTTTAAAAAAAAAACCTTAAAAATATTCCATGAAGAGAGAAATTTTACAATAAAAAATTAAGAGGGTTGGATATTAAACTGGTAATGCAAATGGATTTTCTGAAATATCAATGCTGAAATAATTTCATGGGCGTCGATATCTTGTTTTAGGGCTAGTTATCTGCCCTTGATTTTGTTCATGATAATGTTAAAGACTGGATAATGTAGCCAATGACCTGGTTATTTTCAAATGTTGACAGCCCATCCAGACTAATATTCGTAGAATATTTGTCTGAAGGATAACGACTAATATCTATGTTGTAGATGTTATATTGGAGCGGAAATTGTACCAACCACATGATTTCTTTTTTACAGGTATTACTATTACGGACGAGGAACCTGTGAACATGCCCGTTTTAGGTCTAGGGATATGTCTAGGAGTAGTTATATTGGTCTTCTCAGTGATAATCATGGTTTTAGTTATCAAATTCCATAAAGATAAAAGTAAGTTGTATATATTAAAATTTAGTTTGGATTTAGGTTAGGCAAATGGTTAGAAGGTGGTGTGAATGCTTATAACGTATCTTCGAATGAACCCCCGAGAATACATCTGAGAGAGATTACCGAACACTTCCAAGTGCGATTTCGATACTGATGTCCGTTTACCGATTTGCAACTTGCGAATTTTATCGTTTCGGGATTGTTCCATGGTATTAAAATATTTTAGAAATTAATGCATTTGACACACATTTATATATCAGGTATTTGTTTACAATCCGTCTCTAAAAATATGCCTAAATTTGGCTTTTAGTATCTGTATATATTTCGACTACAATTACAGTAAGGCCGACGATTCGGTCCTCAGTATCAAATTCGCACTCGGTAGTTTTCGGGAATATCCCCTCACCACGGCTTGCAAAATCAGTCAGATCGTGGCTCAGAGTGACATAGGCGTAGTGCGGTCTTTGTTAGCGTGGTAAGAGTGTTGTGCGATCATGGAAGGAACTACTTGCGGAAACAAATGAGCAGGAATTGTACACTAAAAAAGTTATTAGATGTGCTGTACACTTCCAGTCACGTTTTTACCGAGATATGTGTTTTCTTTTATCATATAAAATCAATCCAAGCAGCATCGGCACCAATATCTCTCGATTTTGGCCAAATTTGTTCAGATATTTATAATTTGAATATTTTCTGTGTTTTAGGGAGATTGAGATTATCGGAACATGGATATTATTATATTGGTGATACGAGTGACAAATCATCAGTCAGTGTTTAGTTTTAAGGGCATGTTTCAATATTTATTCGTTTATATATATGTTTAAGTATTATGAACAATGGTTATACGACAAACTACTTCAGCATTAAAAGTTTTATCAGAAAGTTGTGTCAACCAACTTATTCAATGTTTAGTGTTAAGGACATGCTTTACATGATCTAGTTTTTAACTATTATAGTGAGAACTGCCAGCTCTTTATCTAATCTCCCATAATGTATCTTTAAGATACACGTTCATAAAAGAAGGCGATTATAGACACATTCAACATTACAATCTGTTCACGATGTTTGTATACTTAACAATCACAACAGTTCAAAGGGGATCGTTGACTCAAAAGGAATTTCCACCTTTCTAAATTGTTCTTAGTTACTTGTGAGTCTATCTTTGCGTTTTAATGTAGAAATGATTATTTTATAATTATAAGAAGGTTTATGTATTTTAGTATATGGAGTGAGCCATTTACATTATTGATTCAGTGATATAATTGATGAACATCTCATAAACACATGTACAAGAAAGCTCATATAACCAAACATTAGGCTATAAAATTGTGTATTCCACACCAGAAAGCTTATATACACTACCATGTATTATCCAATGATGTGATTGACTTTTTCATAAGATTATATACCCTGACATATAGAGATATCCACAAATATGACTGATTATTTCATAATTACCAGAAAGCTTATACAAAATGGGAGATTTATTTCAGTAAATAAAATTATTCAATTTTATGATTTTTGATTTTATACTTGTATAATAAATGTATGCCTTTTTATATGACTGATGATTCTAGACAGCATATCATGGTTAATGATACTATAACTTTATAATAGAATGCTTTTAACATGGTTGAAGCAGTGTAAGTTTACTCGTTCTCACCTATTCTTGATTTGATCTTGGTCAAATGTCTCACCCGTGCCACGTCCATTATACTTTTCCCGCTTGCATCTTTAACATTGTTTACATATACATGTACTTGATTCCATCAAATCTTACTCTTACAATTGACATGTATCATATTTTATTAAAGAATGTTATTATAAGGTACTGTTTAATTATACAATTTACTATTATGTTTTTATAGGATTTACTTTTAAGTATTTTGTGACCTATAGAATTATCTCCCTTTCTTTTACTATAATTGATTCGGAAGTATCAAGTTTGCGTCACTAGTGAAAATTCCCTTGTTCTGTAAGGACGTGTTTCATGTCATTTTCATTATACCCATTATTTTAGGGTTTATACCTATTATATATTTATTACTCTTATTTTGTATATATTAGAAAATGAAATGAAATGAAATGGGGTTTAACGTCCTACTGTTCTGCCCCTAAACTGGGCTAATGAAGACGGGCATACGCCATACAGTGTGCTATGAGGGAAATTTTGCCCGGGCAGCGGCGCTACGGCCTACTCTTATATCGAATTCCAACTGCCAAGGGATCTTTTACGTGCACGCCAATGTGTACACGGGACCTCGGTTTTTCGTCCCATCCGAACGACTAGACAGCTGTCCTTGTCATGCCCTCCGTCCTGCATCACTGACAAGGGAAACCACGCCGGAAAATCTGGATGAACTTTCTCGGCTAATGCAGGGATCGAACACCCGACCTCCAGGCTAGCGAGCCAGCGTCTTACCCACTTAGACACGTGATCCCCGTATATATTAGAACTTAGAAGAGTGTGTATATATTTGGAACCCTGTTGGGTAATATTTCAAGACCAATATTTCGATTTTTCTGTTCGTTTAATTTACCATACGTTGTCACTTAACATTATATACCTAACTATCGATGAAATAAGAACTTGGTGTGTTTCCCATTAATCACATTCAGTTAGTAGAACTGTTGGCGGAGGCTGTTTTATATAATCAAGCAGGGTTTGGGCACATAATCGAACATAGGCTAGCTAATTTATAAAATACTGAATCGATACAATTGTTGTTTTTATCCTTAAGAATTCGAATACTTCCCAAGGAGCTAGGGTATGCAGTGTTACGAACCTAGTTAATTGATACCGGCAAGTTTAAACTCCTTTTATTAGTGTAACCGGTAGCCGTAGCTATCTTAATTATTTGTATTTCGTTTTCCGGAAAAGCGCTCCGTAGTTCTATATTTAGACTATGGGTGTAAGTCTTTGGTACTTATCGCTAATCTAGTAAAATCTATCGTTTTCTCGGCACAGTCATCGCCTGTTTAATAATTTGATATTTTTATATTGTGTAAGAGTATATATTTCTAATTAAGCATGCTGCCTATGTTTTTATTATTGTTAATTGTGTCTGCCGACTGTATTTTCAAGCAAGAACTTTACTATGTATTTATATGTACTTTCACTTAGTTTGTTATAATATTAAGCGGGCAGAATTTGTAAGTAAACATTTTTGATGGGAACTTATATGTATCTGGTAGATAAATTATCTAGCTATCCGTGCCTATCCTTAGTTTTGTGGTGCCTACTTTGTGTCAAAAGTTCTGCATATTTTTTGGATAGTACTCGTGTCTGGATTTTAGATTCCATGCCGACTTGTCCAAGGGAGATAATATTAGCTTCTTGTTTATCAAGAATTTATTAATTAGTAGGCATGTTTAATTTAAGTCTTATTTAGTATATTTTATCCTTTCAAATTATTATTTATGCATGTTGTAAGCCATGTGTCATGTTGGTTTAGTTGAGGCATGGGTCCTTTTATTTATTTTGTGTCTGTTAGTTTAGGATTTCACCCCACCTTTTATTACTAGGTGGATGAATACGTTGATTGCCTCCATGCATTAGTCTTTTGTCTTCTAGACTGGATAGTATTATTCTGGCTCAAGAAAGTATTTTTATGAAAGTGTAATTAACAGCGTTTGGTCTTCGTATATTTAGCTTTTTCGTCTTGAAAACTGGATATTATTATCCTGGCTCAAGGAAGTGTTTTGACAGCGTTTGAACACAGTGTTTTATTTATATTTAGTCTTTATGTCTGGTAGTAGAAAGTGTTTTTAGAAGTGTTTTGTAAGTTATTATTAATATTACATAGTTAGAGACGACCACAAATCGTCCCGAAGCCACGTAATTTCGGATACCCGAATTTGACCTTGCTATCCCCAACCGAAAATTATATGTGTCATATATGTTTCTAATTTTTTATTAAAACCTTTATAAGTTCCTGTTGTTTCAGTGTCTATTAATTTATTAGACTAACAGTGTGCGGGTAACATTAGTATAGCACAGGGGGTAGACTCTGTTCCACCCCCATCTGCATTTTTACAGAATTCACATGGTAATTCTTTGACAAAACGTTACAATGGCAGTAAGTTCTTGATCCACTTGAAGAATTCATCGCATTGGTTTACTGCGCCTAGCCTTACGACGGTAAACTGGAAGCCTTAGTGGTAAAATAATCCAGCTTAAAATACCAGCCGTTATCGTTGGGAACTCGAAGCGGCTTGTGAATGATAACAACACATGTAAGAAATAACTCAGAGAAAAAAAAACAAATTATTTACAATAAGCTTACCGTAGGCATAAATACGGTATTATAATTATCTATGTACTAGCATACTTTCTCTGTACAACAAAAAAAGAGGGTCATGTATCGTTGAAAAACTTTTCTGTCACGTTCAAAATATTAACAACGCATTCACCAAGTTTAAATCTGACGGACATTGGTCTACTGACACAGACGGCGCTTCGAAAAGGTGATGTTCGCTATGCTGTTTACATTTCGTTGCTATGGTTACATCAGTCATTTTTATTGCTAGATTTTGCAAGCTTGTCGGTTTCAAACACTGGGTTTTTTATGAACAGGATGGACAGGAAGCACTGATTGAAAAATTCTTTCAATCAAGCAGTTCACGTATGTAAGCAGAAGACTGATGACTCGAAAAGCTCCCAACAGAGAAGCATCTATGGAGACCCGTTGACATCGCTGTTTCCAGACTTTTCTGCGTGTTGTCTCTCTTGGAAATTTAAAAATTGACACGTCCTTTCATATTTAGTGTTGGTAGTAGTAGTAGTAGTAGTAGTACATCTCCAAGCATTGCGTTCACAGTGTTTTCGGAAAAGGGGCGATAAAGCCGAACGCTGAAAATAAATTGATTTCATCCGCTCATTACCCAAATTCTCTACCCAAATTCTCTTCACCAAATTTGAAAAATCTGTTAAAATATTACAGCTTGTTTCGGGGTTCACAAGGTTTTAGGCAAAGAGGTTGGGGGATAACTCTGGAACAGAAAGTCGCGGAAAACTCAATAGCGATAGGGTTTGTGAAATGAAATGGGGTTTAACGTCCTACTGTTCTGCTCCTATACTGGGCTAATGAAGACGGGGATACGCCATACAGTGTGCTATGAGGGAAATTTTGCCCGGGCAGCGGCACTGTCGCCTACTCTTATATCGAATTCCAACTGCCAAGGGATCTTTTACGTGCATTCCAATGTGTACACGGGACCTCGGTTTTTCGTCTCATCCGAAGGACTAGACAGCTGTCCTTGTCAGGCCCTCCATCCTGCATCGATAGAGTTTGTACTCTCTCGACTACAGTGCTTGACACCAAATCTGAACAAAAAAAAAATCCTCAGAAGCCTCTATCGTGTTTACAATGTTTTCGATAAAGGAGGGATGACTCTGATACAAAGCCGCAGAACGCTGAATATCGATTGGGTTCTAATGGCCACATTGTTTCAAACCAAATTTGAAAAAAGACAACTGCAACCTATATCGCGTTCACAAGGTTTAGGGAAATGGGGAATATCTCCGGAACGAACGGTCGTGCAACGCTGATTAACGACAGGTTCATCCTCTCATGACCTCAATGCTTCACACCAAATTTAAAATATAAACTTTAAAAACTGTAGCCTGTATTGCGTTAACAATCTTCTTGACGAAGGGGAATAATCCGGGAACAGTATGTCGCAGAAAGCTAATATATCGATAGGTTTCAACTTCCCATCACCTGCATTCTGTTAAATAATGTAGCCTCTATCGCGTTAACAAGTTTTTTCTGGAAATGGGGGGATAAATGAAGAACGAAGAATCCTGGACCGCTGAAAATTGATTGGTGGGCAACTAGAAGGTATCTTTTCTACTTGAACCAACTGCATTTCAACATAGATACTATCGTATGATTGCCGACTTGTCTTTAGTCCTTTATGTGATGTAGCGTTCTGGTTCGTCTGCATATTTATTTTTTGCGTTTGGGGAGTTCTTTACTTCTGGTCTACCTTTGGACAGTACGTACGTATAATATTTTTAAATTATTACAACAGATTAAATAGCTACTGTGTGACGTTAAGTTGAAAAAAATTACAAATCGACGATGTCCTGTGCGGTGGCCTGTTAGTGCCATGCTTTGATTTAAACCCGTCTTTGTAATTTACCTTGTGGAAACCTGCATGTTTTTCTCATGGATAGAATTGATAGCCCGGGAGCACTCTAACTAGAAAGGGTTTACACCACGGAGAAAAGGTTGAAATTGCTGTTTTCTGGAATAGCAGTAAAACGCGTTTGCGGCCGTCAATGTTTTCCAAATGTACTCGGGGGAGAGAGGGGTCCTGCACGGTACTTTCTGCTCCTTCGCCCCTGTAACCTGAAATTATTTCGAGCATTTCAGGTTCTGCCCCCCCCCCCTTAACATTCATCGAACACGTACGTCTATGCATCACGGAACCATTTTATGTATAAATTTATCTTGGTAAAACTATACCACTTTAACACCCTTCATTAAAGGCTTCTAGTTACTAGGATATTTAAAAGTCACGTTTTTCATACATCGTCTTCTTTATATTATATATCATTATTCAACAAGGAAGTTACTCAAATATTTATATTTTTTTTAACACATATGACGGCGTTAAGGACATAAAAGGTCTGACTATTCATTCTATTCGTGCAAACCAGTGAAGTGTTACGATAGAAATAGAAGATATTAATACAACCGTCTTAATGCTTGCTTTCCCACTATCACGATTCGCGGCCGTCAAATTTTAGAAATTTTCTTTGTGTGTGTGATTAAATTGTGTAACGTACTTATTAGGAGTCAATTACTAATCCATTTTGTTCCCCCCACTTACCGTAGGCTAGAATAGTGTATACTAATATTATGCAATATGTCCTCTATTTTCATGTTAACTTCGGAAATTACTAGACTTTTCTTTCACTTCATGTGGGTGGCTATGTGGGTAAGAAACTGGCTCGCAAATGTGGAGTACGCGGGTTCACTCCCGGTGTTGGCCGAGAAAGGTCATTGGAATTTTCCGCCGTGGCTTCCTACAAGGGAAGCTGTCTAGTCATTCGGATGGGACGAAAAAACGAGGACCCATGTACACATTGGCATGCACGTTAAAGATCCCTTGGCAGTTGGATAAAACTGTAGTGTCTATCTAGTTCACAAGCCAGTTGTTAAGGGCAAGGTAAAGGGACGCCATTTTGTCATAACATCTAAAATGGGGAGTGCGGGGTCTCAAAAAGGCATTTACACTAGTTTTAATGCCAATATGTTGGTATCTACATGTGTCTGAGATGATACAGAACAATAAAAAAAAGAATGACTTTGAAATAAAATATTTACCAAATAATGAAGCAAATTCCTAAGTGGGGACTGCGCAGCTACAAGCTTTATAAATAAAAACACAGGAAAATTAAACTGGCTAAAAGTTGCACAGATAAAAAAACAGGAAAAAACATTTTAAAAACTTTATTATAGGACCAAAAAAATGTTTTCAAATATTTTGTAAACAAAAGGCCATTATTTTGTTTCATGGACTACTTTCACTGCAGATGTATGGTGTGCCACTAGTGACACAGTGAACAGCAATATTGCCCCTATGATATGAGGTACATAAAGCTATGAATGTGACTGCATTTAACACAGTGTGCTACATTGTACAAATAGCCTTCATATTCCTGATATGATATCCAATATATTACAATAATAGCATGAGCCTTATTATGTGGAGGGGGGGGGGTAGAATACAGGGATATATTATTATGTATGTCTTCTCGATACAATCGAGGTAATTTCGACCCTACTCCCTGTCACGTTCAATCGGGGAACCGATCCATGACAACAAATCATAAATCACATTTCAGTTCCTGGAATTCATTAGACAAGTATTGCTATATTTCTGAAAAATAAATAATGTAAAGGTATATTTTTCAATTCATTTTCTAAATCCAACACATACATAAATTCTATAATTAAACATCAATATACATGTGCAGGTACCGGTAATTGGCGGTAAATGCTTTAATGTATCATGTGTACTGTAAAGCATTCAGAATTATTTGCAAACTTCCCAAGGAAAGTGATATCAGATGTTCTAGTTAATATGCTGATATACATGAATCACCTCCATTCACAGATGTAGAATGTACATGTCGTCTAGAAGGGTTGGTACGATGTAGATTTGTAAACTTACCAATAGGGTTTGTGTAATAATGATATTTTGGGCATAACCTGCCCATGCACAACACTCATCACTTTGCAAAAGTGTAACTTTACTGTCTAGATAGGGAATGGTTTTGATTGGCTTGGATGTGACGGTTGCTTTAGGTGTGCTAGATTTTAAAAAGACGGCTACTACTGTAGATACATAAACAATCGTTTTGGGGGATTTTAAATCTACACATATTCACATATTTTATTTGAATAAGAATGTTTACTGTTTTTGGGGGGTTTCTTTATATAATTTGAAAAAAGTACCATTTTAAAGTTCTTTTATCGTATATGCCATATAATTTGTAATGCTGCTTTAAATTCCGACCGAAGAAATTATGGTTTTACTTGTATATCTATCAAATTACACAATATTAAAGTAGCTAAGTCTCTAACTCAATATCATCCAAAGTATTCCACATTGAAAACACAAATTATTTGTCAATTTAAATCAACATTGATGTTGTGATCTTACCGGGAAAAGATAGGCTCCTGATATCAAATATTTAAGACAAAATACACGAATCGTGTACCATAATGCGTTTCCGTGCCATTTGTAACAAGGGACTCGAAGAACGAGGCTAGAGATTTGTATTTCTTCTGTTACTGTTATTTAATTCTCTGTAAAATGGTTTCACTGTGAATTTCATATATATATTGACCGCAAGTTTACCAATTATGACATTGTGCTTGATAACGATAAGAGTATACTTATCGAAGCGTCGTGCGTTT